ACGTCTGCCACCAACTTGCTTTCAAGTAGCCTGGCAGAGTGACAGAATATCGGAGAGCGAGGCTGGCATTCTAGAAATAATGCCCTGTTACTTTCTGGGATAAGTTCAAGCCAGGACTTCATTTCATCCTGGATAGTTCCTAAAGTGTAATTTAGAACAACAGAATCATCTTCGTCGTCTATTTGCCCTGGATCTCGATGCTTCAGCATCAATTTCGTGGAATGCTCTAATGGCAGCCAAGACCTTTTGGAAAAGACGTTAAGCTCGTTTCACTATTTGATAGGGCATAGCGACTAAAGGACAAAAAGTTGGCCCTAAGGCTGAGACTTACTCTGAGCTGGCCTACACAAGCTATGTACAAAAAGATATCTTATCACCTTAAGAGCTGTATCACACGCACGGTATTGTAATTCTGGACATGAATGTTGAGTTGAAACATGTGGTACCTTCTGAATTTGTTATTTTGTATTTCATTCTTTCCTCTGCCCTCTTTTTCACTTGCCCATTTAATCCCTCTTCTTGACGACCCAAAAGAGATGTCGACTTCAACGGATTTCTTGACTTCATCGACGGTCGACTGGCTAAGGTCTATTCCACTACGAAAGGCATCACTCAAGCGGAGGCGGTGAAGGAGATCAGGCGGAAAATATCTGAGGCCAGTCCTACCACGCATGGAACCACAGTGAGTAGGGACAGGTGATGAAGCGTAATGATTCCAATTATCTCATATTAGTAAAACAATGTAACTTATTACAGCAACTTAAAAATTGCTTTGATAACACAAAGTTCAAACAAAGACTTACGTTTATAGAAGTGGCTTGACTTATTTTTCATAACTTGTTCATACAATCAAGGCGACATATGATTTATCATGGTAGTCAAGATAATTTCCAGCGTTGGGCCTTAGACTTAGTACCTTTTCTCACGCTTCGTCGATATTGCAGTCGGCTATTCTTAACACTAAGCTTCAATTCGTCAAAGAGACAAGTTCACCTCTTGATTTACTTGTTGTCTAACAAGTGGGATGCCTATAATTCTTTTTTCCTGGTACCTCCACATGTTTTCTCTTCAAATGTTGTCTCCTTTCTCCATCATAGCCTATAGCTTGTTTATATCGGACAGCCTAAGAGGTGTCTTTTTGATCAGGTTTAGTAAGGCGTTCTCACATCTTCCGCCAGTTTCCTCTACTCTCTCCTCGGGTATAGGAATTGTTGATTCATATCGGCATTAAAGTCTAAAAATTATTTCATTTAATTCCCATCCAACTCTTTTTTGCAGCCCCTAAGATGAATTTTCTAAACAATTGATTAACGGATTTCACTCGGCTCGATAAACGGTATCCGTTTTATTCAAGATGCATTCGTTGGGATGACCTTAACTGCACGACCAAGTTGTGAAAGCGGAGCCAGCACACCTATATGCAGAAAACAAGAGAAAGAACACATCATATCGCTATTCATATTAGTATATATATTTTAATGTACAATATAACAAAGTAAAAGTAGTATAAAAGTAGTATTATATATATATATTTGTTGTTGTGTGCCTAAATGCACACATGTGCGTATTTAAGAATATGTGTGTGTGAGTGTATGCGTAAAGAGGGCTAAAGATCTTAGACATCTACTAACTAGAGGTATTATTGGATGTCAATGCATACATAGCCTCTCCATTCTGGAGAATATAGCAATAGTCTTTGGGCTACTGTTGCCCTTGCATGCCAGGGCCCAATTTGAACTGTATACACTTAATGTGAGATGTAATCACCAAATTTGGATTAAGGTTCGACTCCCGCTGAGGGTGTTGATAAGACCGATGCGAGGTCGAATCTGCAATCCACTGGTGCCCGGATGATAACAACTTTTGGGAAAGAAAGGCAATGTGAAATTTAATGGAAACGTCAGTTCAACTCATATCATTGTGGGAAAATTCTTCTTATACCAGTCCTTCTTCAGCTTAAACAAAATTGGGTGAATACACCTCATATTACTGATTTACTGGTAGTCACAAAAACAATACTTAATTCGAAAAATAATGTATACACTTAGCA